AGAGCACAGCGAGTCTCCTGCCTGACTCACGATAGATCTGCCTTCAGCTTTGCTGCAGAGGTGCTCGCGAACAGCAGCAACTACTGCAGCGCTAAGGCAATTTGAGTCCAGCTGGCTTTGAAATCAAATGTGAGGAAAGAATTGATTCTGCAGCACTGATTTAGGCTGCCGTTTTCTACGCGGAGGGGAGGGAGGGGTGGCGGAGAATCGAGCACTTTATCAGCACTGTGGGCAGCAGAGAGAGTGATGGAAAACGAGGATGACTCAGAGCTAGTGGGTGGACTTAGACCAGGTGAGACATTGGTACAGCAGATGGGCAGTTTTTCAGTTCTCAGGCTTTCCATTGTGTGTCAGGCGGCTCATAGGGCGAAGAGCAGTGAAAATTGATTCTATTGTGGAAGAAAGTCATGGTGGGGGAAAAAAAATTACAAAGGGTTTTTGTTTTGTAACTTTCCATAATGAAATTAGGAAATTCCATAACTTTAATGAGGTAATAAAACAAAACAAAAAAATCCTAAAAAAAATATTTTTATCTTACAGAAATAACTTGAACTATTTCCTCGTGAGTGATTTTTATTTTCAGACTTGGAATATGTTTAAATGAAATTCCAGATCCTTAAAAGTTAAGTAAATGTTGCCTATAAATGGATCTCTAGTTACTTAGCAAATAGAAATCAGATTGTAGAGATAAACAATGTTGTATCTCACTTAGGTTAAATAAACTGTGGAGTACTAGTAGATGAATTATGACTTTAAAAAAAAAAAAAAAAATATATATATATATATATATATATATATATATAATGTTCTCACGATGTATATTGAAGTAGATTGACTCAGTAGAGTAGTGTATCATTACAAAGATAATGTACCTGTTTTTCTGTACTATTATTTTTGCCTGTTTTGTCTTTAAAGGTGTGTCTGTATGAATGGTTGATTGACGCTTACTTGCTTATGATATATTGAACTGACTTTTGAGAGAAGGGGCAGACTAAGATTTTTTTTCATTCAAACTTTTGTTAATATCAACATGACATATTCATATTAAACTGTAAATGCATTAAAATAAATAAATAAAAGGTTTGTTTTTATTTCCGATTTCTGCTTGGTTTTGGTCGCTAACCCGCATGAATACCGGAGGTCCATTGCAGCCTCACATTAGGATCAAGTCGGAGGGAACGCCAGCGATCGCCGCGCCGCATGCATTCCCCTCCACATGTTTGCTCTGCCCAGGGTGTGGCCCCGTTTGAGAGGATTACACAGAGGAATGCAGGCGAGCCCATCTTTTTAAAACAAGAGGCCACGGGCGTAAAGTTCATGTCTAACAGAGCGTCTGCGAAGTTCCAAACGACGCCGGTGCGCGCACCGATGATAGGGGTTCCTACAGTTAAAGTCGGAGGATTCGTAAGCAAATTTGGCAGCAATTAGCTTCAGGGTTTCCTTACGACTTCTGTCTGAACAAGTTTATCTGGATTAACATTTGCAGTTTGTGTAGGTACGGCTTGAGTAAACAGTTTGTGACAAGTAGCTGAGAAATATTAAACCACCATAAAGCCCTCTGTATTTTATGGATCTGAATCAACCACATAATCTTCCATTAACAGTCTGTTTTGTTTAAAAAAAAAAAAAAAGGTGCACTTTCAAGCTGTTACAAATAATTTTCAAATGTTATTTCTAATCTAAATAGTTGCTTTAATTATAAGCTGACAAAAATATGTGTGTATATATATATATATATATATAAAGGACAAATAAATTGTTTCAGTCTCGCCGCTAAAACGGGTGAATTGGAGCAGAGAGGAGATAAGCATCAACAAAAGGCTAATGTCTGCAGCACAGTTGATGTGACATCACCACATGACCGGCGTGATTGCATTTACTCCATTAAGGTAGGCATTCTCGCTCATTTCCTGCAGCCCCCACTTCCACTCTGCCCACAGCGACCACTCTGTCACGGTTGCCATGGCCACCGCGCAACAAGTACAGAAGAGCCTAAAGGGACGGGGGCTGTCAGGAGATATCCACACAGGTTTTCTCTGAAGGAGCAAAGGGCAAAACATATCAAATTGTTTGAGTGCAAAACAATTCATTTTGCCTTTTTTTTTTCACGCAACAGCCATAAATCTTAGTGTAATTAATTCAATTTTATATGATACCAATAGAAGGGAACATATGTATGAAGTGTAAGGTAAATATTGCATGGTAGCCAACATTATCCAAACAAAAAATCTGAAAAGCGTGGTGTGTTTTTGTGTTAAATACCCTTTTCTGTTGAAATATTAGCTGTTCTGTTTTCAAGTAAGGTGAGACGGGATTTTTTTTCCAGGGTTATTTAATTAAAGAGGACTGACAATTTTCAACGGTCTACCCTTTCCCTTCTACTTCACAATAATGCCCTACTTTATATTGGCCTGTCACATAAATTCCCATAGGAGGCACTGAAGGTTGCGATTGAAGGAATAACAACAACGTGCGCTGTTAAAGGGCATTTCAAAGCTCTGTTTTTATCAGACTGTTAATATAAATGGCTCAAATGTGTGTCAAGTGTCCCAAAATACTCACACGACTAAATACACTGGACAAAAATGGTGACACGAAGGGCCTTAATGCCAAGTGGGAAATCTATGAGACCTCGCCTAGCTTAACATGGCTTCTTGAATGTATTTTTTAAAAAGCTGACGAAAGTAGCACAAGATTTGTTTTTTCTAGAACCCCCCCCAAACATCTGGTGCAGAAATGCTGAGAACTGTGCGACAGCGTCACTCTGCATGCAAAGCAATCAAACTGAAAATGCAAAGCAGAGGTATGAAATTTTTCAAACAACCGTTTATCTCCTCAAACCCGCCCTCTCTCTCAGATGCGTCTCAGATGATTTTACTGCCATGAACTCTTATTTATGGTTGAATTACAGTCTCAAAAGTAACACACACCAGGTCTAAACTACAGCAACTTTTTCTCAGTTTCCAGAAGACGTCTAGTTTATATAAAATCAATCGTAGTTTACAGACACGTTCAAGTCATAAAAGTAAAGTCGTTTTACATCAAAGCATACCTGTGTGAGAAGATAATTGTGCTTTGGCAATGTTCGGGCTGAGAAAAAGCAGTAGGAGTGTTAGACAAAGTCCCATTGTGGTCACAAGAGAGTTTTTAGCAAATTAGCCTGAAAACAACAAATGCCTCATTCACTTGGCGTGCTTTCCTGTCGTCGCAAGACAAGAGTAACACCTTTTAGTCGACTACTTTCTTGAGAGTCACCTTTCATTCCGCTTCTTCTTACGAGGGGCCCTGTAATCTGTGGCCAAGTTACGGCTGGCGGCGCACAATCCCGCCACAATAACACGATCGGATGAGAAGACCCGGGAAGATGATATGGGCGTAATGGGGTGAAAATCAGCCCCGCGTTGAGAGAAACACATTTCCTAATGCATAATAAGGATTTCACTCTCTCAGCTGTCATGGGGAGACTCTTTGTGACTGAAGGGACAAGCTGGGGGTAAAATCCTGCTGTACAAAAAAAACAAAACAGGAGGCTATTTTTTATGATGGGGAGCAAGAGAACATAACAAAAAAATGAAAAAGAAAGAAAAAAAGGGAATTCTTCAGGCAGAGTAACGATTTCTAAGTTGGGTCCTAAACATCATCTCCAAAAAACTTCTTTCCTTCCTTCAGGGTGTGCGTAAGATCTGCTTGATGCGACAACAAATCGGTCCTGATCCGAGTCAGATGTCGGCTCGTTAAGCTACAACAGAGTTAACGGCTTGCATAAAAAGGAACGACGCTCTGCGAACGCCACTCTGCGAACGCCGCCTTAAATGATCCTCACTCTGTTAAAGTCACAGCCAAGAAGGCAGCTGGCTGCACCAATAAAAGCAGCTTTTTAAAAATGTGTTATAAAGAAAAAAAAAAAAAAGACTGACCATGACGACTTCTGATGACGAGGGTTTTTAAATGCGTTGCAATCAAAATAAAGTTTTAAGATTTTCATCTAATCTCAACTAAGCACTCCATATGTTTACACTTATAATGGTAGGTAGGACAGAAAAGAAGGCATTTTCCCAGCATCCCCCTTTGCTCCATCTGCAGATACAAAGCAAAAAGCAAAGGTATAACGTATGAAGTTCGACACACATCTGCTTTAACTGATTGTAAGGAACATGGGACGAACATGGTCTTCACAAGGGTTTTTATACGTTTTTGTCGACAGTATCTTCGACAGAAATTCCACCATCTGCCTTTTTAATGTGTAAGCTGCAGCTTCAGAAGACAAGATAAAAACTCCTCACTGCTTGTAGTATGCTGCTCTAGTTTCTTCTGCTATTTATCACTGTCACATCTGCAGCAAAGAGAAGGAAAAAAATAACAGCCTCCTCTTAGATACAGCATGTCGCGCCTACTGTGAAGAAGCCTTGCTACGATTTAAGGGATATTCAAGTATTTGGCGTTAAATTTTGGACATTCTACTGGTACGATGAAGTATCAATAGTGGAATAAATAAAGACTGCACCTGCAGTGTGCCGCTTTTATCGCTAAAAACCGTTCCCCAGCAGCCTCTGGTGCTTTTATGTCTTCCCACCGGTTGTAAACATCGTGACAGCTGACACAGATCCGAGAATAGACGCCCTGGAGCGGCTCGAGGCGATCAGATGTTGGCCTGGGAGCGTGGATGATGGACAAGGCACGGTGACATTAGAAGAACTTTTTGTATGAAAAAGAAAATAAAGACGCAGCCGTCGCTGGTGGCACTGAACGTGTCAACAGGCCTCTGTGGCCTTTTGCTTCATAGGTCAGAGCAGTCTGCTAACTGAGTACAGCAGGGAGACCTGACACACATGCTAATTTGAGCAGACGTCCTATACTGACCGACCAGGGGAAACCATAAACTCTAATGTTTTATGTCACTTGTGTAGCTTTTTTTTTTTTTTTAGGTCACTGGGCCTCAAACTTTTATCTACAACACATGACATGTGGTTATTTACAAGTTTGTGTCTGTGAATACGTACCTTTAGCGAGTCAAAGCAGGCGATCACTCTCCCGTTCTCCACCTGGCAGCTTTTGGGTGGGTGGGCGAATTTGCATTCCTCGTCACTGCGCGAACACGTCCCTCGCTGAAACTGTCGGCACACTTCCAGGGTCAGCCATTTTGTGTCCCGTATTGAGGCTATGTTTAGAGCCATGTCGAAGGGGGTCTGATGGCCACGGGGCTGGAGGAAGGAGAGGGAGCCACTCGGTTCGGGGAAGAGGAGGTGCTTCGACACAGAGCTCCGGGTTAAAAACACGTGAAATCAAAAGTAAAACCGGTGGAACATGCAGCTAAAAATACTCTGCCTCAGGTCAGCGGAGGTGTTTTGTCCTTGCGGACAAAAAAAAAAAAAAGACAGAAAATCTGGTGGAGAAACCTGAGCATGGGATGAACAACTGTGTTGTGGAAGTTTGTCAGTCAAGCACATTCATCAATCATCATCAATCAGTAAATCTCAAGAGCAGACCTCTGGCGAGGCAGAGGGGTCATGCATGTCTTGGTCACACTACTGTCCCCAAAATGTCCTTTTTATGAGTGATGATCTCTTTCGAAGGGGGTGGGTGGGGTGGGTGTTTGGGGAGCAAAGGTGGCCCTATTTTCAGGTACAATGGCACATTTTAGGACAGCACAAAAGTGTGCAGCTCTTCCCTTCGAAGCGCCTTTAAGCTTTGGCACCCTGGCCAGCGGTGGAGAGGTTCGGCGTCAGCTTTAACTCGCACAAAAAGCACAGACAAGGACAAACCAGGTGGGATTTGAAGCTGTGACCGGCAGAGACCGCAGAGGAATATCCGGAGCTCTTCGGACCAAGTCTTCAAGTAGGGATGTTAACTCAAAAGGCACTTTCTGTCTGATCTGAAACAGAAAAAAAAATAAAGAACATTTTTTTTTTGTATGAAATTCCAATAAAATACACCAAAGTTTGTGGTTGTGACAAAATCTAGAAAGGTTCAAGTGGTTCAAGGCGATAAAAAAAAAAAAAGGCAGCTGCGCTATTTGGCTGAGTATGTAGAGACTGGAAGTCCAAAGTCTTTCCAACATAGTCCCTACCAAAAACAGGAAATGGAGAAAAGCCCTTTTTGTTGTAAGACGAGAGCAAACAGTCCGAGTGGAGATGGAAAAGGAACTGGCCCGTAGAGCCACACATGGTGCAACCAATAGAAAAGTGCAGCACTGCACTATTCTGGGCGGCCGTCCAGCAGCCACAGAGAGAGACTGAGACAGATGCATATGCCACTGCCAGACATGATTATGACGCTGCCTAGTGTCACACAACATTCACTAGCCTCTCCTCTCTCTCCGTCCATATTAGGGACCGCCTCGCTGACATCAGCCTGTCGGTTCACATTCGTTCGGGGGTATGTCGGTACGAGCTTCCTTCCTTGTCTTGCAAAGAGACCGCTCCGTTTGTCTCGATGTCGTGCAGTGAGAGCGAGGGGACGATTGATAAAGGAACAATCTGAGGAAGTGACCTTTCGCTCGGGAGAATGAAATCCATTACTAGGCTACTGAGCAGGGAGCTCGTTTCTGGGCACATCTGGAAATGTTTTGCTTGGTAACTGTGGGTTGGGAGAGGGGGAGGATGCTCCAAACTGGAGGAGGGTTGTAAAAAAAAAAAAAAAAAAAAAATAGAGCTCTGGTTAAAAGATTATTTTACTATTCAATGTGTATAAAAAGAATGAATGGAAAACGGAGGTTTGGCCCGAACATCTGGCATGTAGGCCTGCATCTTAAATTATTGAGAGCAACAAGCTAAGACTTGTCCAAGAGTCTACAAAGACTTTGCATTTCTTCAGAAATACGCCCCTTAATCATTATAGAAGTAGAAGGGGCAGAATTAAAAATCGCCTTGGGGGGTTAAAGAGCAGCTTCCTCCTTCAAATCACAAACCAAATGCAGCCACAAGCCAATAAATCCAAAACCATCGTCTTAGCTAATCATATTGTCCCACTTTAGTGCTGATAATGTGAAATGAGATCAGAAGCTTCCTTTGCCTGATCGTACTGATGCCCGGTCTCTGCTCTCTAAGGCGGGATTTAATTTCACATCACCCCCCCAGGGAGCCAACCAATCGCTGCAGAAAGAGACAGTCAGGTAAGAATCATGTCAGATCTGACCTTTAGCAATTAATCCCTTCTTATTTTTAGAAGCCATAAGATGTCGGCCATGAAGCTAACCTAATTTGTCACCCATGTGAGGAAGCGGCGGCGCCCATTGTCTTTTAAGTGACTAGCCTGAAATGATGGTGCATAAAACACCAGTGCGTTGCTTTTTACACGTTTGATTTGGACAGAAAAAAGGGGGACGGGGTTAGCTCACTAAACGAGTTCTGACACTTAGTGTCAGTAAGGGCCTGTCGGGGTCACCTGAAGAGGCTCAACAAGCAACAATGAAAGATATTCAAAACAAACGGGATCGGCTGAAGATAAAAAGGTCCCTTATAAGGGTGGTAGTAAGATAAAGAACACATGCAGCAACATGACCACATATCTGTGGGCAGACTGATGACATTTACTCTATGTTTTTGCAGTATAGAAAGGAAGTTGACGACGAGTTTCCCACCGATGGGACTGCCTCCAATGAGAGCAACCGACCCTCCCTTTACCTGTTGTTTCATGATTGAGATGAAATTATCATAGAAGATACCACCAGGAGCAAAAGTCCTGAACAATTGACCTCTCAGAATCATTGGGTGTTTTCACACCTGATAATCCAGTAGATTCGGTTCAATTGGGGACCAAAATTGCAACGTTTGTTACGTTTTCAGCTGGTGTAGTTTGCTTTCACACTGCACTACGTCAAAGGAACCAAACACTTTGAAAAACGTGTTGACCTCCGACCTCGCCTGTAGCGGCGCTGCACCAAAGAACCACGGGAAGAATGACATGAGAACTTCTAAAGACGACAGGAGTATAAAACAAAATTGGAATGTCGTCAGATGTTTTGCGGTTGTAGGATTTCTCTTTGGTAAAAGGCCATGAGACATTTCACCAGAGTTCGCTTGAACTGAACTGAGTTCAAGGTCAGAAAGAGGTAAATTCTTTGGATGGAGGACACTAAAGCTGACTTCTTGTCAGGACAAAGCTAATGTATAAAAAGACAAAGGAATGGTCAGCTGATGGGGTAAAACTACACCTATCTATTCATTAAGAGAGTATGTGATATTTCTATGTGACACTTCATCCATCAGAAAATCAGTAATAGACTCTGAGCTGTTGCAGAAAAGGAAATTGCAAAGTTGTGTTTGCATTTTACGGATATAAACCCTGTGAGGTATAATAAACCGCACAGTGTAACACTGGAACAGTGTGAGTAGTGTTAACAGAAATAGGCAACAGAAAGTGAACCTAAAGAGCTGGAGGTAGAAGCAGATTCTGTGCATCCTGTACCAAAGTGGCCAGACAGGATGACCCGACGAACCCGGATGGAGATGTGAAGAAAAGCACCGCAGTACTAGACTTTGTGGATTACCGACGCTTGCTAAGACCAGCTGCCAGGGGCATTATCTTGGTCAGTCTGCTTAATTGAATGAGAGTCAGCGAGACTGGGGTGTCTCTAGTGAAAGTCATTGGCTTGACCTCTGAAATGCGAGCATGTAACCCATTAGTCTGCTATCTGTGCCAGGCGGTTTATCTGTGTAGCTTGTGTTTGCTCAGCAGAGATGATAAGCTACCTGTTTTTAACGGTCATATGAACTTGAAAACAATGAAAAAAAAATCCTAATGATTGTGAGAGAAAAGATTATGAGCAAGATTACTGAGCGACTGCATTTCCATTTATTACTATTTTACGCTGGCAAACGGTAGATGTTCAGTCATTTGCATGGCCAAGAGGAACAAGTGGACAATGTTTTCCATAGAGAGGGGTCCTAAATGCAGAAAGGAAACGTGAAAATGTTTCATTTCCCGAAGCTTATGAAATGCCTTTGGTCTAAGCTAAGAATCCTTGAGTTCAATTCTATCAAGTACCATTAGGTATAATGATGGGTGAGGGAGATCAGCACACTCTATACCAGGACTAAGCTATGAGCATTTTCCAGAGTCAGCAGGAAGGTGAGCCCCATATCATAATAGCCTTAGCTAAACAAGGGTGACCCAGATAGTCTATACCTCTGATATAGGACAATCTGTTTGGATTTTTTGTAAAATGCACTTTAATTGAGAACAGGCGAGAGAATTTTTGCTTATTTCTCTGCCTGCACTCCGTTAATAGATTTGTTTTCCCTAAGCATTCTTGTCTGCTCTCTGCTAAGTCGAAGGGACTCAGGCAAGTCATCATCTAATTATAGAGCAGTCGTCTGCCTGAGATGAATTGTGCTTCTCAGATAAATATGATGATTAACAGGGTTTCCAAGGTAATTAATGGTAAAAACTGGATAAATACCACACTTAGCTTTACAGTTCTAAGCCCGGCTGACGTGTTTGCTTTAAAAACAACAAATACTTGAAATGAAACCACTTAAATCCCCCCTTTTTCCTCATGCGTAAGTTGTCTGAAGATAAAATTCACTTGAGATTTAATCTCAAGGTGGGGCACGTTTGTGATTTAGCCCGGTCTATTTTCAACAGGAAGGGCCGGGACCGTTGTTCCATTTTAGAAAACACCCACTTCCCCTTGATCTGCGGCCAGGCGCATGACACCGCTCTGGCCTTTTCCACGCAGGGCGGCAATGTTCAGTTCGCCACGCTCGGCTTTGGGTCGAGAAAGCGAAATTTGGACAGACTCGGTTCCAGATCTGTCCAAAGAACTTTGCCAGGAAGAACTTTGTAAAAACTCTAGATTTGACAAGCTTTTCTGTGTCACACTTGAAAAAGTGGAGCTCCTGACATTTGGACTGAGAAAGGGGCAAGTCAACTGCTGTGATAATACCCTTTCCCCCAGGAGTTGAAAGAGAAAGTCTATGTTGGGAGACTGGAAAGCCTCAGAGCTCCTATGGATTTCTCTTCCTATATTTTTCTTTCCTTGTTTCCTGTCTCATACCCTCTCTCACACACAGATAAAACATTCCCTCAAGTCCCTCCCCACCCAGACTGGTATGCAGCACACTGCAGCAAAACTCCTAAAAAAAATAAATAAAAAGAATCCATTTAAAAAAATTAAAAAAAAGCCCAGACTGTATGACAAGTCATTCCCACCTCGGTATATCCGTTTCCCGGAGCGCCGCTGTGTGCTTCTGTCTTAGTCCCAAACACACGAGGCACCCGTTGGCTCCGGTGCGGTTCTCCCTTCAGCCCCGGCGAGAGGAGTTAATGACCATGTGAGCTGTTGTCATTCCTCGCGAGCCGCCGAGCACCGCAGCCAGAGGTCCATGCCTAGACAGGGATTTTCTCTCTCAGCGTCTCTCTCTCAGCCGCAGAGCAAAGCGAGCGAGGCAGGCGGGCGGGCAGGAAGCAAAAGAGTGTCTACTCAAACTATTTGGCTGTAACACTTCCAGCCAACATCCCACCTCCTCCTTCACCCCCCCATCCAGACACACACCCCTAAAGCCAGCCCCTTTCTGCCCACCAGCCTGTCGGGGTCCTGCCCCCGAACAGCTCCAGCCAATAACACACAGCATTGCTCTGAATCCCAGCTTTCACCGCCTCCTGATTGGAGGAGAGCAATCCGATTGATAGGACAAATTCTGCATTTACAGTCAAAACACCTGAATGCTGATTTCTCACAAGGTATTTCCCCAATTTCACGCGCCGCTTAACGTCACAAATTCAGATCCCGGAGAGCGCGGCATTGTTTAAATTCAACGCGCGATCTGATTAGAGGAGCGGGCCGTGGTCGGGTGTGTGAGGGGGAGAGGGAGGAAAACAAGCAGTAATCAAAGTGTTGCGCAGCCGCATAGTGGAGATCAGCAGTGTCCTTGTCTGCGTTCTATCGCCGCATTTAACACCATCCCCCCAGGAAACCGGAGCACTACACCTGCACCCTCCCTCCCACCTCTCTCCTCCACCTCCTCTCAGCATCCGTCCTCCAAACTCATCCTCCATCCCAGCATCCCTCGCTTCCTCCTCCACTTAAGCACCTTTCTCTCGCCCTCCCCGTGGCTTCTCTCCATCCCTCACCTTGCACGTTTTCTCCGCAGTTCCGCGAGCTATCTCCTAAACTCTATTTCAGTCCAATTCTTTCGTTTACTGGACTGGAAAATTACTACTGTTATTGCTTGGGAAACATAAAAATAATAATAGATGTCATAATAATAATGTATTGCAGTGTGTGTGGTTTTTTTTTTCCCCCTCTCCCCTTCCAAGCCGGGCTGATGACATGCTGCCCGGCGATCACATGGGCCGTGAAACCGGAGCGCCACAGAACTGATGAGTCAGAGATCCTGCTTCATGACTTTTCGATCCAGATTCAATAGAACAGCTGTACTGTCTCTCTATCTCTCTATATGTCCACCTTCCTGGCTCACACAAAGGTTGTTAGTGACGCGGTATCAGTCGCAGCCAGGTGACCAATAAATGTATTTACTGTCCGATTTTTTCTTATATAAACTTTTACATGTTTTTATATTTTGCAAGCAGAAAACATCGAAAGGACACATTGTTTTCAACGTTTTGCAACGAGTTAATGCTTTGTAGAGCCATCATCAAATAAAGTCATAATGTTACAAGAATACAGTCAAAATTATATGAGAATAAAGTTAATGTTACAACAAAAAAAGGTGGAATATTAGGAAAATGAAATTTATGAAAACTCCAAACAAAAAAAAATTATCCAAGCTTTTTTCTCATTAAAATGACTTTTTTTTCTCAACTTAATTTTAAGACACTGTTCTGGTAAAATTGTGTCTTGATTCTGCTAATATAATGACTATATTTCACACAAACATGCATTCAAGATGATGTAAAATGTTAGCTTTTTGCTATGTATTAGCATTTTGAACGATTCAGTTTCATTTATCTCACTTCCCATCACTCATGCGTCTGTGTTGACCTGTCACATTAAATCTGAATTACATTAGAGTTTGTGTTTGTGACGACATAAACGTGGAAAAAAAGTGTTGAAAGGCCATTAGAACAGAAAAAGCGTCAACGTCTGGTGACGGCGACATAAACGTCAGCGCACCTGTAGGGAGACGGGACAAACAAGCGCTCTGCTATTGCGCGAAGCATTACGATGAGGGCGGGCAACGCCATGTTTGGTCAAGAGCAAAGTGTCAGCTTACAACAACAGCGAGAGTCATGCAAGTACAGTTGCAAGATTTAAAAGAGGAGGAGTTAGGATGCTGGCAAAAAAATAAAATAAAACCATCTACTGTAGCTTATCTAGAAGCAAAACAGTTTTTCCCACTGCAGATCTCAGATATGTCCAACAGGAAAACAAACAAAAGCCTGGCAGACAAACAAGCTCAGCTACTTCCTTCCCTCGTGGAGTCCCCTCCCCTCCTATTATCCCTGTCCTTTTTGACCCCAAACAGCTCGGCACACTCACAACGATCTGCGTTTCCAGGAAAAAAGAAAAAAAAAATCGTTTATATCAAAAAAAGACTGCCAGGTAAAAACTGTGTGCCAACAGTTCAACATGACACGAGAGGGAAAAGGAAAAAAAAGCAGGGCTCAGAAATAGGGCGGCGAAGACAGATCAATGAAAAGGCAGCTGTCTTTTTCTATTATTAGCCATAATCAAATAACAAGCAGTAAAGGGGTGTGCTTCCTTTAGTTTGATCAGTCTGTCTTAAAACGACGCACGTAGCTGACAGTGGTGCTATTTATATCCAATTTCAAGTCTTGCTTTTTAACAATGGAAGGTTATGTCCTTCTCAAACACACAAAGGTCAGATTTTAATCATCTGTATTTACTGGCATAAAACATAAAGCTCACTTCGTTTTGGCCCAATTGTACAAGATACCAACCTTGAAAAGATTTCAGACTGCAGTGACCTTCTGGATGATTGCAGATGGCAGAATTTTAAAAAATGTGACGAGTCAAAAACACAATAAATGTTAAACATATTATTTTAAATAAACACACATACGGGATATATATAAATATCTTACACACAACCAGTGGAAGTTTTTGATATGTGCAAAACTACACACTGCCCAGGGCAGTACAACCTTGGGGGGCAGCAAATACCTTTGACAAAAAATGTATCTGTTGTTATCTGTAGCTTTTTTGCACATACAGTCAGTGAAGAGTTAGTTTTTTTTTTTTTTTTTTTAACCTAATTTCAAACCCAGGAGATAAACAGTATGTCAAATGGCTAGCGATATCCTAACCCTGTCGGATGTAACCTAAAAACAACATTTTTGTTCACAAAACTCACTGCACAAAACTCCACTGCAGAAGAAAAAGCCAGTTGAAGCTTGTCTAAAGCTCTCTGTCAAAAATTTGAACAATTCATTGAAATATTAAGAGGATATTGATTCGTTAGAAAAAAAACAAACAAACTATTTGGATATAATTTCACATATCATGTTTAAAAGGAGAAATGGCGCTGCACACTTTTTTTATTTTATTTTTTTTAAAAGGCAGGTTCTGTTCTGGAACATCTGCATTGTTGTGCAAAAGGAAGCATCCTCTTCATGACACTGTTATGCTTCAGTTAGAGGCTTCAACACAGCTGTAATAGGGGCTGCTACAAGAGATAATTTGGTCCTATAGCCATCAGCATTTCAACAACTCTCTGAACTTCGATAACGAGTTTCAACAATATTTAATTTCCCGCTGGGATTTTTTTCTTTTTTAAAAAAGAAGGTCTTTTTCAGTCAAACTGAACTGAATAAATTCTTGAATAATTATTGCAGATGTTTGCCAGAGAAAAGGAAAAGAATGAAAGCAAGGGAATCTATGGAGTATTCACATGCGAAAGTTAATTTAAAATTTGAACTACTAAGTAATTACAAAGTCATAAGAGCAACAACAACGACGATGCAACATCACATCCATTTTTTTTTCTTCTTATTTTCAGCAGCTCTCTGCTTCTGTGGAGTTATTTCTCGGTCTTTGAGCCACAAACAAGACCTAAGAAATGAATTATTACTAATATTTCACAACCTCCCTTGAAGTCCTAACACGCCGCTACGTGTGCATAAAATGAATACCTAAAGGATGCTAACGCTACCTGCTAAGCTAGCTACCTGCAGCCTACCTGATGTCGAGACCTGTCACATCCAGCTGCTCCTCAGCCCGCCGCCAACGGCTGGTCAACGACTGGATACCCGCAGCACGGCACGAAAGGGCAGTCACGGTCTTCAGCTGGCACTTTTCGCCGGCTCTTTTCCTCCTTACAAACTTTTTTTGCTTCTCTTCTTTAAAAAAAAAACAAATATCACAGCGGCGCCTTTGACCCGCTACATGCTAGCTCGCTAACTACTTTTAAAGGTTGAAAGCAACAAGCGATTTTGACAGTTCGAGGTAAGGTCGACTTCTCCGTCTCTGTGGAGAGGTAATTGTGAATATACAAACATGATTGAATTTATCAGTTTTTTAGATTATCCAAGCTTTAGGAACTGGAACACTTTTAATGCAAAACAGATATTCCGTATTTGCAGATACTGTACAGAAATATAATTAGTTTTGAAGAAGACATCCCCCCCACCAAAGTGAACGTGGTACGGTCCAAAGAAATCAAGGGAAGTGAAGGGAAGGGAAGGGGCTCCTGTTACTAGGAGACAGCAGTGAATAGCTCTGGGGGAAAGATGGGCCCAGTGATTTATGAACCAGCGTCTGTGTGCTTGTCAAAATAGCCTGTTAACGTAAAGTGAAAACACCTGGTAAAATATAATTACCATTTATTCCGTTATAAAATAAATTACTAATTCGATTCAAAAATACTTTACAAATCCCAGAGGAAAAATAAACATTGCTGTTGGTTAGATTATACAATAATTTTTCAGTGAATTGTTGTAGATGCTGATTGCTGCAGGCAAATCTCCTGTCGCAGTCAGTATTACAGCAATTCTGATGGAGCCTCTGACTGACCAGAGGTGGTCTAACTAACTAGTGACTAGTTAGATTTGCTTAGTTACATTTACTTTACTAAGTTTTAGGGGAAAATATACTCAGAGTAGTTTACTCCACTATGCTTTTTACTTTTACTTGAATAATCTTAATATGAAGCATCGCTACTCTTTATTGAGTAAACACATATCTACTGCAAGTATTAGTTTTATATTTCCAAAAAAGTTTTCTTCTACTTCAATTTATTATTTTTCAAATATGTTATTTATTACAGCTACTCCAAACGTAGGTAGGTGTTTTACAAAATACTTTTTTACCCTAATATCTTAGACGGCTATTTTTTACCTTCAATTGAGTAAAAATAAGTCGAGGTGGTGGTAGTCTTACCTGAGTACATTTTTGGGGGCTACCTCCCACTTTTGAAGACACTGTTGTTGTTTAACATTCACATGAAGAGGATGCTCAAAGTTGCTGGAAAGTTCTTGATTTCACTGTCATCTCCAGAGATTTCACGTCCCCAGAACAGAATCAGCCCTATTCATCAGATTGTTTATCCTTTTTAA